GGCCCCATGAAGGCACCCAACTATCTAATGAAGAAGACTCTGTGAAAGAAGTGTCCATATCTAACTCATAAAACACTTTCTAGAAGGGATGATGTTTGAATTGAGTTTTAAGGATGAATAGCAATTTTCCCGAAAGAATTGGCAGTAGTCTTCCAAGCATGGAGTGGTGTAAAAATATGCTTCCCTGTAGCAAAGGTGAGTAATTTAGTATGACTACAGCCAGTGATAAGTGTGGGAGAAATTCAAGCTGGCAATACTATGCCAAGGAGTCTGAATTTTTATCTGAAAACTATAAGAGGTCCTTAAAGGAGTTGAAGTAGAAAAGTTATGTAGTCAAATTAGGCATTCGGAAACTTCAAAACAAGAGCAAAGTAGAGAATCAAGTATAGCCCTGAGTTAGGAGGTTACTATAATAATTTAATCAAGAAGTAATGAAGGCTAAGAGAATAGATCATAAAAGTTCTCACTACAAGAAAAAAAGAGCGTAACTATGTGTGGGGATGGATGTTAATCAGACTTATTGTGGTGATCATTTCCCAATATACATAATACCGAATCACTATGTGGCACGCCTGAACTAATATAACATAATATGTCAATTATACTCAATAAAAAAATAAAATTTAAAAAGTAAAGTAGTTTTCTAAATTAGGCCACTCAGTGAGAATGAAAACTAGGTAATATTTTGGATGTAATGTGAGAGAACCTGTTGCCTAAGAGTGAGGAACAGGAAGAAGTGGGGGCTCAAATGACTACCAGCTTTTTCTGGTCTGGTGACCATGAGGACAACGGCCAGGCAGGGAGGAAAAGAGTTATCTTGGCTTAGTCACTCTTTGCAAAAGCACTGCAGTATTCCCTACCTCTTCCCATCCAGAATTTATCATCATATTTTTCTCTGAAACATATTAAGCTAGTGAATGATGTTTATGCATTAGTTTTCCATTGTTGTGTAAAAATTATTACAGGCTTGGTGACTTGAAACACCCGCTTATTAGCTCAGAGTTTTGTAAGGTCAGAAGTCTGGCGTGGCGAGGGCCCCTGGGTGGCTCAGTCGGTTAGCTGTCTGCCTTCAGCTCAGGTCATGTTCCCTGGGTCCTGGGATAGGGCAGCATCGTTGGGCTCCCTGCTCAGTGGGGAATCTGCTTCTCCCTCTGCCTCTCCCCCCACTTGTGCTCTCTCTCTCTCTTGCTCTCTCTCAAATAAATAAATCAAATCTTAAAATATATATATATATAATATATATATATATATATATGTAAGTCTGGCATGGCATATCTAGGTTCTCAGCTCAGGGTCTCACAAGGCTGAAATCAGGTGTCTGCCAGGCTGGGCTCTTATGTGGAAGCTCTGGGGAAGAATGTGCTTCCAAGTTCATTCAGGTTACTGGCAGAATCCAGTTCCTGTCTGGGGACTTGATACTTATTTTTATTTTCAACTGATGTTGAGCCACTGATGGGAGCTGACTCCATGCACACCGCAGAAATGCAGCAGGGCATGGAGGTTAAAAGTGCAGGCTCCATAACTGAGGAGTAAAACTGAGATAGCAGAAGTACCTTCATAAGGTTCCTGAGGATCACCTGAGTTGGTATATGACAATCATTTAAAGCAGTGCCTAGCACGTAGTAAGCACTCAATAAATACCGGCCATGGTTATCGTTGTTATTGTTATTTGTGGTGTTATCATTCCCATTATATGCCTCCAGGATGATTCCTGCCAAGTTAATGGATTTTTTTTCCTTTCCTGTCAATCCCGTCTGGTGTGCAGTACCTCAGTGTGGGATGTGGAATTGACGGTTTCCAGGAAGGGATGACTGGTGAACGCTTCCGAGCTATGGCACCTGCTATCGGAACCCTTTGCAGTGTGCGCATAGACTGTCAAGTGTGCGTTCACTTTTGGCATCCTCCTGGAATTGGGGCCAAATGGCCCTATATTTAGAAGCAATTCTTCATACTTTGGGGTTTTATCTGTCTCCTGGTTTCATTAAACTTGGACTCTTTTGTTAGAATTTGTGTTGCTTTCAGTTGATATTAGAGAGTGGAGCTTAATACAATTATCTTTATGCTGCCATCTCCAAGCAGCTCTTAATATTTTTAAATCGAGGAATATTCTTAAATAAGTGAGAGAATGGTGCACCCCTCTCTTTCTCCACTGAAGCTTAAATATGAAGACATTATAAGAAGGATTTAAGAGTTAATGCAGTGTTCATAAAAGGACAGTTTAAACCTTAAAATCAGTTCCAAGGGGAGATTATTAAATCTTATTCCAATTTTGTACTTGTGACTAAATATTTTTTTATTTAGAAAATGGTTTTGCATTAGAAACGGGAAAATATTTATAATATAAAATCTCAGTCAATACATCTCATGTTATTTAAAACCTCTGTGAAATTTCAATTGACTATAAATAGATATATTTTTTATATTTCTATATAAAATCTATGTATGTGTCTGTGTATATATATGTGCACATATATATGTATATATGAATGTGGATATTCAAGAGATATATTCCAAATTATATGAATCTAGTTTCAATCCACTTTGCCCAGCACAGAGATTGAATTTTATGGATTTTACTTTCCTTTGGGGTCTGTATCCTACTCACCATGTTAAGGGGAATAAAGTAATTAAACCAGTTAATGGTTGTTATTTTCATGATGATGATGATCTCACATTTATAGTGTGCTAGGCACTGTATTTGTAAATTACTTCATTTTCTTTTCAAACAACCACATGAGGAAGGAGCTATTTTATGCCTACCTCACAGATACAGAAACTGTGGCTTAGGGGGTGAAGTCACATGCCCAGCATCATCCAACCGGCAAGTAACAGATTTACCAAGCCACACTGCTCCAAATACATGTTCCAAATAAATAATGTTCTAACCTACCTCCCCCCTTTCTCCAGTACTGCCTGCCTAGTAATATGAACATCACAATACTCATTTTATGAGGGAAAAAAAGTAAATTTCAATTCAATAATTTGCTCAAGGTCATCCAATTCAAAAGGGAGAGAGAAAAAAGATGATCTTTCCATGACAGCCCTTAAAAACTAGAAAATTGAGGTTATGTGTCCCAGAATCCAGAGCAGGTGAGAAACTTCTAATCAATATTTTTAAATTCATGTATAATTTTTTATTTTTTATTCTTTCTAAATATTTTATTTATTTGAGAGAGAGAGAGAGCACGCGCACAAGCGGGGGCGGGCAGAGGGAGAAGCAGACTCCCCGCAGGGCAGGGAGCCTGATGCGGGGCTCGATCCCAGGACGCTGAGATCATGACCTGAGCCGAAGGCAGACACTTAACCAACTGAGCCACCCAGGCAACCCAAATTCATGTGTAGTTTTTTAGACCTATTTTCCCTGTACTAAGGCAGTGGGGGAGGAAAAACACCCTCAAGAATGTTCTTTTCCATTGGTGACTAAATCTTCCAAAGCATGAATGAGTCTCCAAAACAAATGACCACTTGGCTATTAAACGTAGGAAGAAAGAAATTGCTCTGAACAATGGTGCATATAAACTGAATTTTTAAGGTATAATAAATATGATTCTCCTTGAAGGTGATTCTTTAAAAATTCAGGTTGCTGAAGTCAAAAGAGACAAATATAGCTCTTTGCTTCTATATGCCGAGGTTAATCGTAAAATGCATCTTTGTTTTAAAATCCCATGAATGTCAGAATAGGAAACATGCAGTGTCAGTTCATCAATGGACCATTCTGTTTGAAACTTTGACAAATGACTCCCTGGCTTTGCTTCTGTTTGCTGAGGAGGGAAGTAGTGGCCTTCTGGGGCAGCTTCTTAAAGATATTTCTATGAGATTTATGTGGCACAAAGCGCTCTCAAAGACAAATCAATATATCCAAGTTGAGCATTCTAATATAATCACACTGATAAAAAAAAGTGCTTCCTCGCCACAGATCTGTCATTTCTTCCTTTCATTTTGCGAAGATGCCTGAAACAAAGCTCTGAATGACCATCTTCAGTCACATAGGATATTAACAGAATTCCATAAAATCAGCCATCACTCTAGATGCATAATTTCCCTTGGGAAAACCATTCAAGCTCAAACTTGGTGAGAGAAATATCAAAGAACAAAACTAATGGAGAAACATGTCTTGGATTAGACTTATAATTACTTGTGAACCTAAATATGCACACAACATTGACCTGAGGTATATTGGCAAATTGTAAATTCTATAGGGTTGTACAAACATTGATCTCATTGCTCCACACTACTTCTGAGGGAAGACTTACAGATGCCTTGATTATGAGGGGGTCAGGTCCTTATCAGGTCTTGTCTTGAAGCAATTCTGGGTGATACACAACCTAGCAACCCTCCCCTTACTGGGAACCAGCCTTTGAGCATCACTGCCCTGCTTTTTCTTTAATGAAACTAAACAGTGCCCTGATTAAAATTTTCTTAGTTCTTGGCACTGAAATAAATGGAGTTGGGGGGGAAGAAGAATCTGTCTTAAAATTGTGTATGAGATTGTATTTAAGAAAGAAGACAAGATAGGGGCAGTTGACAGAGTTTTAGAGGGTCAATAAATACCATTCTCTCCCTGGTTTTGGCTAAATTGTGACACCACCCCCCCCCACCATGCCCAAAATTCATATGTTGAAGCCCTAACCCCCAGTACCTCAGTATGTGACTTTATTTGGAGATAGGGCCTTTAAGTTAAAATTAGGTCATTAGAGTGGGCCCTAATCCAATGTGACTGTTTTCTTATAAGAAGAGGAAATTTGGACACAGCAACTACAGAGGGAAGACCACGTGAAGACAGAAGACAGCCATCTACAAGCTAAGGAGAAAGGCCTCAACCTGCCAACGACTTGATCTTGAACTTCTAGCCTCCAGGATTGTGAGAAAGTAAATTTCTGTGGTTGAAGCCACCCAGTCTGTGATACTTTGTCAGAACAGCCCTAGCAAGCTAAGACACTCTCCCCCAGAGCTCTGAACCAACTGATAAACATGAGACAGGAAACAGGATCAAAGCTATATTACTGAAGAAACTGATTTAAGAATGTGGCTTTGGATCGGTAGTCAATAGAGCCTGCACTGAAACCAAAGCAGCAGGCCTTGCCTGCAAACATATCAGATGGAGGAGCTGAGGAAGCATTGTCTGGCTGGGTAGATGGATCTGAAAGAAAGAGGACACAAAGAACCAATTAGGAATAAGAAAGATGCCCTGTGAAGGAGTGAGCAAGGTGTTAGAGAGAGGTTGGGAGTGTTCCTTTTTCCTCTGGGTGGGACAGTGTAACTCCCTCCTCTCTGGGGAAATGTGAGAAGTGAAAAATAAGTGTCTCCAAACTCCCACTTCAAGCTGATCTCAAGCTTTATTTCGTCTGTACTTCAAAAAGAAGCAAAGTCATCTCTGTTCGTCTTCATTTGGAAACACCATATGCAAGTAAAAGGCCACAAAATGAAATCTCACTTTGCCCCCCTTTAATATGCTCATCTTCCTATAGTTTTCTTGAAGAATGGCATTATTGTTCAACCGTGGGCCCAAGGCAGTCACCTGGGGTTATCTCATTGTCTCTTTCTTTCTGTCTACCTGTAGTCTTGTGGATTCCTCTTCTTAAATAGCTCTTGAATCTGTTTCCCCTCTCAAACTTCATGGTAATGCTTTGGTACCTCTCCTCATCACCTTCCCTCTGGATTCCAGGCCAATATCCTTTTTTTTTTTTTAATTATTAATTTTTTTTTTAAGATTTATGTGTTTATTAGAGGGAGAGAGAGAGAGCACGAGTGGGAGGAAGGACAGAGGGAGAGGTGGAAAAAGAGAGAAGCAGACTCCCCACTGAGTGCGGAGCCCAAAGCAGGGCTCTATCTCACCATGACCTGAGCCCAAATCAGGAGTCAGATGCTTAACCAACTGAGCCACCCAGACTCACCCCCCAGTCCAATCTCCTTAACAGGCCTCTCCACCATGTGCTATTCTCTTACACTGTCACCAGAGTGAACCTTCTAAAACCCCAATCTCACCACAACAGGTCATAAATTCAAATCTTTCAAGCTCCTTATGCAGTCACTAGGAAATCTGCCTAATCTAGCTTCCTCTACATCTCTGTCAAGCCAGAGCCAGGGGCGGTCAGAATCCAGAGCCCATCATGAATCGGGGACACCAAGTTTTGTTGATGAAGAAAGTGAAGACAAGTTCTGCACATAGTTACAAGAGAGTCCCACTGTTAGTGAGAACACAACCCCAGGCCTGCCTCCGCCCCCCTCTCCCATTCCTCCCAGGGGAAGAGGAAGGACCTACTGTTGAATAAAAGAAATGGGCCCATATGTCTCTCTCTTCTCTCTGGGACCTGGGGTAAGTCTTCATTTGGAGGCTCCGTCCCTGCATCCCAAGCACTGATGGTAATTCAGTCAGTTGTTTTAATTCTCAGGGGCAATCTAAGGGAGTCCATTTGACCCTCACACTAAGCCTCATTCTCCTACAGTTTTCTCAGCACTGGAGATAACATTTTGATCTCCATCTACTGAGTCTAGACTTTCAAATCTGAACCTGCTTAGGAAAAAAAAAAATGGATGTCATTCTAATGCACTCAAACCCCAACACTTCTGAAGACTCGTGAATATGCCCCTGGGTTATGGCTCTGTGATGTTAGGAGCTAATGAATCGACACAGTAAAAAAGGTCAGAGTTTAACTACTTTTGCTCATAGAAGAGGTGAATTGTAGCAGAGGGGCCCTTTGCCTTTCAAGCAATTAAGGATATGTTGGCACGGGGGCAGGCAGTCTCGTGGTTCCATCCTTGGGGAGCTTATTGCTCAGCAGAACACCTTGTGGTTCTGAGTTCTCCATTTTCATGAACGATACCACTGTCCTGCTAATCCCAGTGACATCAGAGCTCTGGGTCTACTAGTCCTCCTTTAGCCCTTTGCAACGAATTTATTAGCAAGTCATGAAGATCCCACCATCTTCAGTTTCTCATGCCCACCATCTCCTCCCACTCCTTAGCTGCCACCCTACTTCATTATTTTCATCAGAATACTACAAGAGTCTCCTAACTGCTCGCCATGAATTGTGTCTCTCTCTGCTGCAATTCATCCAATTCACTCCTGGCAGATTAATATTTCCAGCAGGCATATTTGGTTCTATCTTTCCCCTATTCAAAACCTGTCAATGGCTCCCCTTTGGTTTCTAAATTAAATATGACTCCTCCTGCTGGAATTCAAGGGAATCCTACACAATAAGGCTCCAGCTTCCCTTTCCAGCTGTCTTCCCGTGTTTTGTATTGTAGTCGTGCTGCATTAATTAGTGTCACCGTAACACAACTCTACGGTTTTCTGCCTCCTTCCTTTTCTGCTGTGCTCCTACTTCAAAAGATGTCTTTTTTCTCCTCTCTAAGATGGACCTTTAAGGGTAAGTAGGAATCAACAGGCAAACGACAACTATTTAATGTAATCTTTTCTTATCTCTCCAGCCCTGACAAAAGATTGAGCCTTTCTCTTTTTGATACCATAGCATCACAGCACTTTGTGCTTATCTAACTGCATTTTGTTTACTCTACTCTATGGACATACACTGATTCACCTCTTCCCTCTAACAGCAACCACATTTTTCCTTGGACGATTGCTCCTGTCCTATTCTCAGCCATGTGACTTGGGTGGAATTTACTCCTCTTTTATTGTCAAGTGGAACATAAATGATCCACTACTCCCACCCTGCCCCCCATCCCCAAGTCTTGATATTTTGTTTCGAAAAGAAGATATGATCCAGTTAAGGGCCATGAGGCATAAAGAGCTATTTGCTGGGGCTTTGAGAACAGAAGTCTCCCTTATCTTCCAAAGGAACTCCAAGAAGACATATTCTCTCTTTCTCAGATGGTGTGCTGAGGGTGTGAGATCTAGAATTGTAGAAGTCATTTTGCTAACATGAGGGGAGCCAGCCTGAAGATAAATTTGGCGCAAAGAGGAGGGACAACTAAAAGAATCATGAAGAAAATGTGATATTTTGAAACTCTGGGAAGACAGTGCTTGGAGCCAGGCCTAATTTTATACTTTTCAGTTAAGTCAATAAACTTCTAAATTTGTTTAAGCCTATCTGAGTTTGGTTTTCTGACTCCAGCAATAAATTTTTCTCCCTCATACTAGACATATGGTATCTTCTCCTTGGGCCAGGTTTAAAGTTATAGTAGTGGATCTCATAGTATCTCGCATAGCAGCTCTTTAACAGACATTTTTTAATGAGATCGATTTGTGCAATAGGAATAAATGTTCCCATGAATTTCCTGAGACAGAATTTTGAAAGAGAAAATAGCACAAATATTCACTAAAGGTTTGCTGAACTAAATTGGATACACTGATACTTATCAAGCCCATGTTGTATCAAGCCCAGGAAAAGCTATGGAGAATAGCTTTCAAAACCATTTTTTAAATTTTTGGTTATTTAGGAAAGTAATCAGCAGACTCTTTTTATTAAACTAGAAATTTTTAAGATGGAAGATAATCCTCAGACCTAGTGGACAACAGTAACTAATTATAGCTGAACGTTTGCACACTTTCACCAATGTCTCCCTATTTTCCCCACCCTCCAGGCCCTGGCAACCGTTTTCCTACTGTCTGTTTCTGAGTTTGAGTTTTTTGGGTTTTTTTTTGTTTTTGGGTTTTTTTGTGGTTTTTTTTGATTCCACATATAAGTGATACCATGTAATATCTGTCTCTCTAGCTTATTTCACTCAACGCAATGCCCTCAAGTTCCATGTTATTACAAATGGCAGAATTTCCTTCTTTCTCCTGGCTGAATAATATCCCATTGTTTAGATATACCACATCTTCTTCATCCATTAACCCACTGATGAATACTTAAGTTGCTTATTATCTTACAACTTTTAAAGAAGGAATCTAAAATGGAACAGCAGTATTGTGCTCCTGCTGGAGGCTCTAGGGGAGCTTCCAGTCCCTTGCCTTTTCTAGCCTCTAGAGGCCACTGCTCTGCACCTTGTCTGGTGGTTCCTTCCTTGCATCGCTCTGACCTCTGCTTCCATCATCACTCCCGACTCCCTCCTGTAGGGACCCTCATGATCACACCCGGCCCACCCAGATAATCCAGAGTAATCCTCCCATCTCAAGATCTGTAATGTCATCACATCTGCAAATCTCTTGCCTTGTAAGGTAATATATCCACAGATTTGGGGGATTAGGATTTAAATATCTTTGGGGGGGGTCCATTATACTGCCCACCACACTCTTTTTTTCCAGCATAACAACTTTGTATCCCAAAACATACTAAAGAAATCAGCCATAAGAAGTGATATTTTTTTCAGGCAAAGACACATTCACTAATTTACTTAGGCCAATAACTTCTGGTTAGAGAATATTATCTGGAACAAATGTGAACTGCACACACATTTGGATGCTTTGCTTTGTGTGCTTACACGGAGCAAGAAAAATGGAAACGTGGCATCTGCTGATGTTTGTCTTACATACTTCCATATCTTTCAAAGTGCTCTCATGTTTAGCCTTTATTTCTCCCTAAAGATATTCGTCTGGGCTTAAATTAATTTTTAAAGGTGGTTTGAGATCCAGATAACCATGAGCTCTAGAATGGTTGGAAAACTGGTGAAGAAAATAGCATAGGAAGAAAAAGTGCAATAAACCTTCATTACGTTACATTTTGTGTGCAAATTCTATGTATTTTACAATGGTTGTGCATTAACTATTGAATCTTATTGTCATCCAGTTGACCTAGTTCTCTCTCTGATGAAATCGTTTGAGAACCTCGGGTGAGGACAGAATTCATTACAACTAATGGGAATATTGTTCATGTAGCAGGTTTTCATGTAATGGCAGGGGTTTTGGGAAAGAATCCAAACTGATAGAAGAGGGTTAGGTGTATTTGCACCTCGTAGACTAGGCTGCCCATTCAGGTGGTTCACTGAGAACAAAAGAAGCATCTTGTTCAGAAAGGAGCTCCAACGCCTCCACTGAACTAGACAGCTGCTGGAGGTTTTTAAATGATAGGTTTTCCAACTCTTACCCATCAAGACTTCAAAAATCCTAGGGTTGAATTTCAACCAAAGCACCCTGTTGTAGGTATAAAATATGTGTATGGAGCTTGATTTTGATTAAATCTCTTTCTGTATTGTCAGCTGTGAATAAGCCCTCTCCTAGGTGGTCGGATGAATGGCCAG